CTAGTTTCCTTTTAGCTGAACTGATTAATGATGTAACTATCATTTGGTTTTAATAAAGTGTGCCACAACTAAAAAACAACATGTAATGTATTAGCTTAGAAACAATTTGGATTGAATTTGTTAGTTTGCTAAATTACACTAGAGTGAAGGAACTGATCAAATACACACGAACAACAAAGATCTCTGACCAGAAAAGATGGTTACACCAAAGCACACACGCCTGCTTTAGGTGTGGGGTGTATAGATAGGTGATACTGCTATATCGCGCTGGTTAGTTGCACTATTGGCCTTGTGAAAAAAAAGGTAATGAGATTCTTTCTAAAGAAACACGTATTGCGGCAAAAAAGAAAAGGTAATGAGATTGTAGAAATCCTTGCCTTGGCATGCGAGGATTCTTTCTACACATTTCAAAAGGCGGGTTTCATAGTCATACCTTATTTTGACTAGTAGACTGCCCGTGCGTTGCCACGGGCTTTTAAAAATTTGTATTTGTTGCATGTCAAATTTTACATACTCCCTCCTTCCATCTATACAGGGTCTAGTACGTTTTTCAAGACCGTCTTTGACTATTGACAACGTAGAGGACAGTGGGGAAGGCGTATACCCGACAACCTTTAGGGAGGTCCGGCGGCGCCTGCAGGCTGCACCACGTCGATGTTGGACGAGCCGCCAGGGATTTCACTAACCCAAACACAACCACCACCACCCCGGACGATCTGAAGTGTACCAACCAACCTGCCGCCCACCAGCCTTTGCCACCACGTTCACTGAACCAACTTCGTCGTCTCCTGAGGCCACCGACACGAGATCTGGAGGAGGGAAGAGGAGCCAAGGGGCTCGGGGGCATCCGCAACTCAGCCGATGAGAGGGGACAACCTTCGTCGCTGCCGCGAAGCCGACCAGACGTGACGACAGGGGCCTACCAGGCCCCTACTGGCCCGACCGAGCCCAAATGGGTCAGGGCAGCCCCTGTTGCCACACTGCAGCACGTCGGCCAACAAAGCCGCCACCACCCGCACTCCCCGATGCCTCGCCACCACCACCAGAGAGCCACACCGCCGCACATCGGACCGCCGGCCCGCTCCAACCCAGATGGGGCCCAAAAGGGCCCAAATCTGGGCGGAGTGGACGCCGCCAGCCAGCCGCACCACCACGCGCCTTGCAGCCAACGACCGCGCCGCCGCATCAGGGGCACCCACGGCCCGCAACGCGCGAGCGGGGAAAGAACGACATGCCTTTGCCCGAGGAGCACCACCTCCATCAGCCCCCCCCCCGACACACATCCCCAACGCGTGAGCAGGGAAAGAACGGCCCGCCTCTGCCAGCACCACGTGGGAATGACCTAGCGGACCACGCCGGCGGCGGCAGGGGGGAAAGACGAGGAGGGATTGGAGGAGAGGGGGGGTCGGGGATTCACATGTCGCCCGCGAGGGGGGGTGGGGCAAGCGAGCGAACAGATCAAATCAGTGTAGGACGTTTTTCTTAGGTGCTTGAAACCATACAATTTACCATTTAGAAACACTACGGAAAAACACATCTTCTAGAACATACCGTGCGTCGCCACACGCTTTTGGAATATTTTGTTAAAGTTATATATAAACATAATGCATGTTATAATGCATGTTAAATTTCACATGTATAGAAATTACAGTACCGGGCGATAAAAATGGTAGAACCTGCTTGATGGGTCATTTTCGCCATTTTAAATATCTAATTCTAATAAATGTTGAACATGGAAATTTCTTTTTTTAATAAAACTTAATATTTCATTAAAATGTAAACTTTATAAAATAACATTTTTTGAGAAGAATGTATTTTTGTAGTAAGAAGTGATTTTTTGGGCGAATTTTTAAGTGTTTTTAAATTATGATAGTGTTGCGCGCTAGCCACAACTGTACCGAAAAATATCAGATTGTTCCTTCTAGGAAGGTGATCTTCATGCCCTTCTTCCACCCTGGCTTCACGTCGACCGTTGGGATCTCCACCGTGATCGTCTTTCTACACATAGTTGCCATGAACAAGTAGTGTTTAGTGTTTATTTTAGCACCCAAAATCAGTTTCTTATTTTATTAAAGACATGCATCAAAATTGACACTAAATAATCCAGATTGACCGAGCATGCTAAAATTTGAAGTTGGCTTAAAGATTAGTAAGAACCCATCCAAATCAATAAGACACGGCTGAACTATTTGGTTGAAGTAACAAAGATATTGCAGTGATAATAATGCTGCTTTAGAATAGATCTGAACAATGCTGACTGCCGTTGCACTCTACTGAACAAATTAAATAGACCCAACTGGTCAACTACAAATTTCTCAGGATTAATCTTTGGAACACATGTACCTCATACTGAGGTTAAATAATTCAGAATGATTGAGGAAGCTAAAATCTGAAGACGGCTTAAGATTACTGAAAACTGCCCAAATCAATAATACAACTCAGATGGAACCAACAAGGAAATTGTATTTATCAAATTTAATCTGGAGCAACTAAAATAGTCTTCAATATTCAAGAATGTAGTGGATCTTGATTCTTAATCGGGATAACAAATGACCACATGCATACAACAGAGGGAAGGAGAATATACTCACATGTGTACCACACTTGAATTTCCTACAAGTAAGAAAGGGTAGGGAATAGAATTACAATATAAGGATTCAACTGGATGAACTGTAAATGTTGTAAATACATGAATTGCAAAGGCTTCGCGAGCTGCTGCTTGTCGTGGTCGAGTACGACACTAAAATCTTACCTCCTAACAAAAATTGCTTATAACGATACAACATGTGCCATACTATCAATTCATAATCCAAGAGATGAAGCTAGCTGATTAGCTCAACTAATGCACTGGCGTTTTTCTAATTTCTGACAAAGATGTTACTAACAAAGATACTTAATTGTCCTTTAAAAAAAATGCATGCTGAAGTTTTGGATTGGCTTGCTAATAAAGAATGTGGGTGCCTTGTGAGGAGTAGGAGCACGTCCGCCTGTCCACGGCTGTCCAAGGAGAGAGGGAGATGGGGATAGTACCAAATTCGAAGCAACATGTAGCCAACCTGCAAGAAATCCATCGACGGCGGCTCAGATCCCGGCCAACCCCAGCAAGCCCTCAACAGGAGCGCGACACGGGCCCCGCCGCTTGGTCCCCAGTCCCCACGGCCGTGCAGGACTCCCGCATCGGCGGCAGCCCCGAGGGGCCTCCAAGCCGATGTGCGACCCGACACGGGGGAGGGGCTGGCCCCGAGGAGCGGTAACCCGGCGACTCCGTCAGTCAGGAGCTGGGCGGCGCCTTCCGTCATCGCCGCCGTTTGGGGAGGGATGCGGTCCCGGTCGATGCGATCATTGGCCACGGCGAGCGGGACAGACTCGACGGCGGGATTCAGACGGCGGAGCATGGATACAGGAGATGGTGGCGCATCGATGGGAGATGGGTGCGGGCGCGGCTGCGGTGGGCGGAGCGTCGGCGGCGGGCGGCGCGCGGTGAGG